TACCTGTAACACCGACACGACATCGCGAACGCGATGAACTACATTCGTGGCGCTGTGAGCGCAATCAGTGCCCCATACCAGTACTACAAAGATATCAACCCATCGACCCTGACTGGAGCCATCGATGTCATCGTTATTCGGCGCCCACCATCGCCCACTTTATCTGCTAGCTTCGGTTCACAAGACGGCGATGTTTACGCCTGCTCTCCATTCCACGTCCGTTTCGGTAAGCTTCAGGTACTCAGACCTGCTGAGAAGAAGGTGCGCATTGTCTGCTCTTTTCGTAAAAGTGTTCGATGGATCATGAATGGCTGGGAATAGGTCAACGTATCAATAAATGGCTCGCTCATCCCGTTCAACATGAAAATAGGAGACGCAGGAGAAGCATTTTTCGTGTTCGAGACAGAAGAAGATATCCCAGAAGACCTTGTTACAAGTCCTCTGCTCTCCCCAACCCCGGAACCAGGCGAACTTCAGGGTGACTTTGAACATGAAACATTTGGAGCTAAACCGGGTGGGGAAGAGAAGTCAGATCTGAGTTTACAGATGCAGGAACCTGAGTTTCTCGATTTGAACGCTTCGTCTGTGTTGAAACATCCAATTCCAATCCATGCAGGCGCGCAACCAAAGCTCGGCTCGAGGAGCGTTTCTCATACCCCTCCACCAGAGGATCCTGTAGTACAACCAACCGACGTGTTCGGTCCAGAAGTTCAATACAAGGCTGGTGCGTGCGTTCTACACACAATATTTGATATGATTCTCAAGGCGTTGCAGATGTCGCGCTTGATATGGATGGATATCATTCTGCTCAAGCACGCGACGCGTCTTCCTCACGTATATCTCGTGAGTTTTATGTAACTCGCCATATACCGAGCTAATGAGCTACAGATCCACCATCTCCAACCCCAACCGCGATCCCCTTCCCATCAACCATTCCTCCAGTCGCTTCCCCTCTGAGCAAACACTCTCCATCATTTCCCGCAACTACGTTTCTTGCCTGCCATACTGTTTCAGAATCCCAAGATGATATCCCGCTTCCTCAGTATTCCTGGGAATGGGGCGCGTTCCCCCAGCCCTCACCTATGGCGACACATTTCCCGTCTACCCATTTATTGCGCATGGGTAAAGCACCTGCTATGGATGAACACGCGCCAGCCGATTTTGATGCTGAAGAGTTTTTGACGCGTAGTAGGAGTGTCCCGCTTGAGCTCGAAGGCAGTCCACATACCATCCGCTCGTCTCTACCACCTCAGGACGAAGCACATACTCCTGAAGATGAGCAGGAACACGAAATCAGATGTGATCATTCACCACTCCCACTCCCTGAGTACGGGTTTGGTTCAGGTGGTGTTCTTACCACACACCCATCTGATTCACGTACGTTCCTCGTTCACATCGAGGGCCAGGCGCTGTCATTTGCTCTCTCACTTGTACCTACAACAAAACGCGGGATCTTCCATGGGAGTGATGAAGTAGAAGTCGTACGTCTATTCGAGGCAGGGAGAATCGACTATATGCAACTTGTCTCTGAGGAGGTGGTGATCGGGGAGGTGAAGACGAGAGTGGTAGAGGATGAGGGATTGGTGATTAGGTGGGCGGGCGGGCAGTATATCACGAGGGAAGATGGGAGTCCGTTGATGGATGCTTTGAGGTTGTGGGTTGAGAATGCGCCGAAGGAACCATCGAGGGCGATGTCTGAGCCCCCGCCGGCCATCACAGAAGCACGAGATCAGCGTGTAGAACAGAGGGAGGAGGAAATGGTGAGCAGTGCCGATGAACGGGAACCGCTATCGAGTGGGGACGAACGAGAGATGAAGCGTGCGGATTCTGAACCGCCGGAAGCGCACCGGAAACCAACGTCAAGCAGTTGGGTTAGATGGTGGATTCGAAGCCGGGATATAACAGAGGCTGATCGGCCTCCTTTAAGGGTGTCGAATACCTCTCCAATGGAATCTGTGAGTTTCGTGAGACTCAGAAAGATAGCGGCTCATGATGCTTTTCCAGCCACTGCCAAAACATGCTCCTATTGTGGCTCGTCATATGACATTTCCTCAATCTGTGTCTGCCCCCCCTGCCACACCCGCTCCTGGCATCATGGAGCCCTTGAGTAAGGCGTTGGAGGCAAAGATTACGAGGACACGGAAGAGGTATGCCAAGACGCTGCGGTTGACCTCTGATCAATTGGTGGGTCTTCAACATTCCGTACAGCTTTTAAATATATGATGTTTTCTCCAGAAATCCCTCGACCTTAAACCTGGTGCCAATACCATCACGTTTTCCCTCTCTAATTCTACTGTGGCCGCATGTACGGCACGGATATTTGTATGGGACTCGACTGATCTTGTCGTCGTGTCTGACATAGATGGTACAATCACCAAGTAGGTTTCTCCCCTTTGTTTGTGTCTTCATCCAACCTGGCTTTTCCGCAGGTCTGATGGGCTAGGTCATGTATTCGCTATGATTGGCCGCGACTGGACTCATTCCGGTGTTGCAAAGTTATACACCGATATCAGGCGCAACGGGTACAAGATCATGTACCTTACCTCACGAGCTATCGGACAGGCAGATTCTACGCGCGATTACCTGAAGGGTATCAAGCAGGACGACTATCAACTTCCTGAAGGCCCTGTCATCATGAGTCCCGACCGATTGATGGCGTCGCTGCATCGGTAAGATGCTTGAATTATTTGAGGAGGGAAGATGCTGATGTGCACTAGCGAGGTGATCATGCGGAAACCTGAAGTATTCAAAATGGCATGCTTGAGGGATATTCAGCGTCTCTTCGGTGAGAGCTCGCGCACGCCGTTCTATGCCGGGTTTGGAAACCGGATAACGGATGCGCTGTCATATCGCAGCGTGAATGTTCCGAGTGCGAGGATATTCACCATAGATTCCTCTGGTGAGGTCAAGATGGAGCTCCTCGAGCTTGCAGGGTACAAGTCATCGTCCGTAATTTGTTGTGCTCATGTATTCGGCGCACTCATTTATCTCTTATTAGGTATATACATATGACTGACATTGTTGATCAGATGTTCCCTCCGATAAATCGGCAGTGGGCAGTGGAGTTCACGGATTTTAATTATTGGAAAATGCCAGTCCAGGAATTTGCCCTTCCTGACCTCACACCTCCCTCCCCCGCCCTGAGCGCGCGATCAGATACGTCTAACCAGAGTACACTTGCACGGTTACGCAACTTCAGCCTCGTAGGGCGGAGACAATCGAGGGACATGACGCAGTTTTCACTTCCACCGCCTGTGTTAGCGCGCGAGGGCACGCCGAGTCGAACGATGGGTCTGCGCAGTACACATTTGCGGCAGATGTCCTCTCTCGAGCGTCTCAGCGGTAGACTGGCAGCGCTGGCGCAGTCGTCTTCATCCAGCGGCATCGACTCGCGGTCGTCATCGTCTACATTCCTGGATTCTGATGAAGAGGATGCAGATGTGGAAGATGGGAGTGTGCGGAAACGGCGTCCGAGGAGCACAAGTATGACGAGTATGCCTGGGTCGTTGGATGATGGACAGTTTGGGGAGGATGGTAGGGATGAAGAGGAGGAGGGGTATGGATATGACGGGGAAGTGCAGGGTGGAGAGAATGAGGAGGAGGCTGCTGAGGAGGCGTTTGATGAGGATTTTCTTGCTACGGGGGAGATGAAGAATGTGCCATTTTTGTGATGCAGGCGATTGGACCTTGGTAGTGTAATTTGATAAGGCATTGATAGCTGATTTGGATAGATTCAAGGACGGCAGATTAAGCATGTATATTGATAGTGCATTCGATAGATACGAAGACTCCCGTGTCGATTAGAATAAATGTGTTTACTAAGTCTGTCAGTACGAGCATAGGTACAAGCTTCTTGCAAAGGCAAACACGCCTCAGTGAGCAGGAACAAACGTTGTTTATTGTCCGTTGCAATTGGGCCGAACCCCATGGTAGACACCAGAGACAAATAATACGTGCGCATTGGGTGAGTTCTAAGTAGCAAGATAATACGACCAAGCGGCTAAATGTCGATATTCCTCTCCATGCAGGGGTGCCCAAGAGTTGACGCAGGAGCTGCTGAGGCAACGTTTCTTGGGCTCAGTCGAACAACATGCCCCGTCACAAAAGCGTTTGTCCACAATCCGTGGTGTTACTATCGTAGTCTCCAGCACAGAACGGCGAAGTGTCACTCCACTGAGGGGAGAATAGGCTAGGAGAGTGGTGAACCGTGACATTTGAAAGTCGGCAGTATCAGCTCGGATTGCTGGCCGGAAGGTTGTCACTGGATGACTTGTATTGTATTCCGCATGGGCAGCAGTTGTGCTGAAGTACCACCCATTTTCTTTTTTGGAAACCTGGGTTATTGAAATATTGAGAGCTTGAGTCGCCCAGTAAAAGACAACTTTTAAGAGACGATTTACCCGTCACGGTCACACTGATAGTATTAGTCACAGCGACGTCCAGACTCCAGATATCCGAGTCGCGCATGGGATGATAATATTATCACAACAGAGAAGAAAAGACTGTTTTCCCTAGACCGACGTTCGCTTACTCCATCGAGCATAATTGCGAATTCAAAACAATCAAGACATGATTGGCGTCCACTGCATCAGCTAGTGGTGTATGACTTACCTATTACTACATCGAAGTTTGTTCTCGCTAACACTTCTCGAAAATGTCCTCCGCTGAAAGCCAATTGGAACAAAGTTTACGAAGACTTCAGGTGAGTCACATCTTCAACTCATATCAATTTGGCGCGTACTACCACTCATTTTATTCAAAGATATCAGAGTCTAGCTCGCAGGAAACGTCTACCGCGGTCCAGGCGCAATAAGTGCCCTCTAAATACAGCTCAGACGTATCTCAGTACGTTCTCGTGAGACCTCCCCGGGCTCCTTGCGGCAATCGTTGGCTGTTTGGGTTTCCTATCGTCAAGAGGGAACTTTGGAACATAGGGACCATTGCTTTCAAACATATCCAGCCAGAAAAAAACTTTACCAGACAACAATGCCTTTATCGCCATGAATTCCCTTACATTTCTCGAGGTATATCTTGGTCTTCGCGTTTGTACTATGGCACGTGGAAAGGTGGTTGGAGACTCGGAGAATATTCCAGCGGAGTGTATGCCGTCGCCGGGAAAGGTGCTGTTGTTAGTATTGTGGAGGGATACAGAACCTGAGGCGACCTGTCCAACGCCAAGTCAAGTGCATTCCCTGGAGGTGAAGCTTAAGCGCTCACCAGGATGGTGGGTGGAAGTCCCGGTGCGTATGCGTGTTCATTTCGGGAGCCGTTCAGTTGACATCCTTGCATTTTTAGCAATTTTGATGAAAAAAAATATTCCGCCATCATTCCATGACTGGCTGTGTCGCCTAAGTGCCTCATTTCTACCAATTCATCTATTTTTTTGCGGTAGAACCAATCACTTCATCGCGTCAACGGCCATCGAGCCAAATGCCTTTTCGGTAAGAAATGCTGAGTATCTTCGCCGAGTTTCCTAGTAAGGGTTCCTTCTACCCCTGGCCTGTTCCTGAACCAAGATGCGCCACCGGGTAAACAGATTTGATTGCTTATCACATATTATTTACAGGACCACTTTTACGTTCCTCGAGGCTCGTCGACGCGCTCGGGCTGTTCTCGGTGCACCGACGTGCTGTTCAGACAGGTTCAACCCTCGAGGAGACGGTTGCAGTTAGCAACATAATATAACACACGGCAGCCGTGCTACGCCTGGAGTAATAGAACAATCAATGGATTATCCGATGACGATCTTACTCGGGCGACCAAGGAAGAAGATTTCATCTTATTTGTGTTACGAAATAACCGAGTCAAAAGCTCTATAACACGGGAAGAAATGACAACTCGCCACATAACGACAAGCAAAGAATCGTGCTGTTGCTTGTAAGAAGAATGCTGTGATGCTCTTCTTGTGAGAAACCACTGATAAATCAGTCGACAGTTGGAAGATGGGAAAAATCGTACACACATATGGTGGAGCTCGAATACACTAGGGACTTGCCGATGTTCGTAACTTTGATGGAAGACCGGTTGAATGCCTAACCCACAGGGGAGAATACGGGAGTGAAGACTTTTGAAAGTCGGGAGTATCACTGTAGTTTGCGAAGGCAGTAGTACTTGCGCATGTCAGGTAATCCTTACTAACGGCCAAATTGATTCAAGGAAAATTAGGACATGCCTACCTTTCTCGTGTCTTAGGTTGGGATCACAACATCCCATCCGCTGCGCTGTGTGGTTGAACGCATCACGGTCACACTCGTCACAGCGGCGTCCAGACTCCGATGTCGCCGATTGGCATATCACCACAGAGAAGAAATGACTGTCGTCCCTGGGACCGACGCTCACTTACTCCATCGAGCATACTTGCGAATTCAAAACAATCAACACATGCATGATTGGCGTCCACAGTTGGTGGTGTATTACTTACTGCAACCAATCGCTCTCGCTAACACTTCTCGAAAATGTCCTTCACTGCAAGTCAATTGGAACAAAGTCTAGGAAGACTTCAGGTGAGTGACTCCTTCATCCGATCAATTTGGCGCGTACTGCCACTCATTTTGTTCAAAGATATCAGAGTCTGACTCACAAAAAACGTCTACCGCGGTGCAATGGGTGCCCTCTAAATACAGCTCGGACGTATCTCAGTACGTTCTAGTAAAGCCTCCCCGAACTCCATGCGGCAATCGTTGGCTATTTGGTTTTCCTATTACCAGGAAGGAACTTTATAACCTGGGGACCATTGCTTTCCACCATGTTCGGCCAGGCAAAACTTCATCAGACAACAGTGCCTACATCGCCATAAATTCCCTCACATTTCTCGAGGTATATCTTGGTCTTCGCCTTTGCACTTTGGCAGGTGGAAAGGTAGTTGGAGATTCGAAGAATATCCCATCGGAGTGTGTGACATCGGGAGAGGTGCTGTTGTTAGTATTGTGGATGGATACGGAACGTGAGGCTACCTGTCCAATGCAAAATCAAGTGCATTTCGTGGAGATGCAGCTTAAGCGCCCACCGGGATGGTGGGTAGAGATCCCAGTGCGTATGCATATTGATCTCGAGAGCCCTTGAGCTGACATTCTTGCAGTTTTGTTAATTTGATGAATATTCCGCCATCGTTCCATGACTGGCTGTGTCGCCCAAGTACCCCATTTGTACCAACTGATCTATTTTCTGCGGTAGAACCAATCATTCCATCATGTCAACCTCCATCGAACCAAATGCCTTTCTGATAAGAAATGTCGTATGTCTTCGCTGAGTTTCCTTGCTTTCTAGAAGCAAGTAAGGGTTCCTTATACCCCTGGTCTGTCCAGCGTGACTGATCATCTGAACTAAGATGCGCCACCGGGTAAACGAATTTGACTGAATTTGATTGTTTATCACATTATTTACAGGACCGCTTTTACTTTCCTTGCGGCTCGTCGACGCGCTCATCAGCGAAGGAATATTGAAGCAGGCTGAAGAGCTCCCTCTCAAAAGTACGAGTTTATCGGGCGGTTCTTGGTGCACCGACGTTCTGTTCAAACAGGTCCAACCCTGGAGGAGATGGCTGCAGTTAGCAATGCAAACGACAACTATACTACACCTGGAGTAATGCAATAGTCGATGGATCATCAGATGATGATCTTGCTTGTTATGCCCAGTCAAACGAACTATAGCTGTCAAACAGGTTGAGTGACACGGTTAAATCCTGGTCCAAACTAATCATCTAGAACACAGCTGGGTTATATTATTACTCTAGGCACCGACTGTTCTAGTTCGACTTGTTGTTATATTTGTGTCTCTGCACAGTATAACAGATGGCAGAGGTTCTTGCCGTCATCTTCTTATATCTTTATCACCCCACTGTGGCATTCCTATGTCTTAACAAATCAGATTTCCAAGTGTCCTCCCAGGTCAGAACTGTTGGGACTTACTCGGCTATGAAATATTGACCATCAATGTCGCTCTCTTCCTTAGGATCCCCGTAGTCAGTTCCTTTCGCGATCAACTCATCTCTGGTGGGTATCTAGACGTAGGGTCCGCATCCTTGGGCTTGCTTGATGCCGATGATGAAGCTGGCACATCACATCTCGGGCGGGCCCGGGGTCGTCACTCTTGCGATAATATCTATCTTCTACCGTTATCATCCACCTTTCGAGATCAGGGTTTAAAGCTCACGACATGGCGGTTCCGGACGTCTCATAAGGCGACTAGAACAAGAACAAAAGCAACAGTTGACGACGTTCAAAAGGGGCCGGGCACATCGGGATATTTATCAGTGCTGAACACCTACAACACTATTTGGCCGGCATATGGGAACAAACGCTCAACCTCTGGTTTTATAAATCAAAAGGAACTTGTCGATGGAAGAGTTATCATTTTAATCCTCGAAAAAAGTTGCGTTCTGGAATCTGCGATGCTTTATTGAGTTCCACAAGTGTGGCGCACACCACAAATGGAAATTAGTAATAAGTACTACCATGTCGCTGCTTGTCCAATATACTCAAGGGACCTGCCCTCGAAACGTCCGCTGGTTAGAGGCGTGTCGCTGAGCTTGTTGTCTCTGTTCTATTTCTTATCCCAATTGAAGCAAGTCGAACGTGTCACGAACCGCGTCGAAATTCCGCATCGATGACGTATTCCACAGTTCAGTCACGTTTATTTTATTCACTGAACAGTGCAGAGCTCGAAAATGACCTCTACTACAAGCCAACTGGAACAAAGTCTAAGAGGACTTCAGGTGAGTGACCTCATCTTCAATTAATTTGGCACGTACTGCCATTCATTTTGTCCAAAGATCTCAGAGTCTGACTCACAAGAAACGTCTACCGCGGTGCAATGGGTGCCCTCTAGATACTACAGCTCAGTCGCATCTCATTGCGTTCTTGTAAGGCCTCCCCAGGCTGCATGTGGCAACCATCAGCTGTTTGGTTTTGCTCTTATCAAGAGCGAATATTGGGACATGGGAACCTTTGCTTTCAAGCAAATTTGGCCAGACAGAACTTTACCAGACAACCACTTCTTCATCGTCATGAATTCCCTTACCTTCCTTAGGGCATATATTGGTCTTCGCGTTTGTACTATGGCGTTCGGAAAGCTGGATTGAGCCTTAGAGAATATCCCATCGGAGTGCGTGTCGTTGGGAGAGGTGCTATTGTTAATATTGTGGATGGATACAGAACCCGAGGCATCCTGTCCAACGCCAAGTCAAGTGTATTTCGTGGAGGCGAAGCTTAAGCACTCACCGAGATGGTGGGTGGAAATCCCAGTGCGTACTATACATGCTCTTTCGAGAGCCGTTCAGCTGACCTTCTTTCTTTTTTCTAGCATCTTTGATGAATAGTGCGCCATCATTCCATGGCTGGATATATTACCTATTACCCCACATCACCAAAATTTCCCATTCCAGCGATGGCATGCTAAGGTCGCATCAGCCCTTAGAAGGCCTCTAAGTGCCGGCAGGTGTATCAGGTCACAGGGTCCGCTTATCTGGTCATACCTAGGTTCGTTTTTTTCGCTAATGTGCTGCTCAACTGCTGATCATTCCTCAGTTGCTAGCCATGTATCATGCTGATATGCCCTGCGAAGCCATTTTCATTGTTCTATCCGGTTATCACACTGATATGTCATGCTAGACAGATATTAATTTGCTATCATATTACATGGCATTAGCTATGAGTAAGGTCCTGATTGTACTGTAAAGCGTGTGGTGAGTTACAACAGAGGGAAGTTGCAGTCAGAAACCTGGATCCTGGTAGTAGTACAACAAATGATGAAACGGACGGAAGTCAGTGCGAAAGTGTCGATGCGAAGACACAGCGAAAACAACAAAGAGATGGACAGCACTGTGAAGACCTTGATGTGAAGAGACATGATACAACGAGATGGAATGGTGTGCGAGCCTGAAATATGAATATCATGCTAGTCAGCACAACGATGGTAAGCAAAGCATGCGGTGACCTACAAAAGTAAGCGATCGTGACCATTCATTTCTTCTTGCGGCTTGTCCTGGCCTTCTTTGGTGCTGGTAACGGTGACTGTACAACAGCCTTACGAATACGGCCCCTCTTGGCTTTGGACTTTGGTGGCTGGGGTTCTTCGTCGAGTTCGTCAGGCTCACTAAGATCACTGAAATCATTAATGGCTGGTTCCTTAGCAGATACTACCTGCTCCTCGGGCTTTTCGAATGTCGCAGATTCCTGAGGCTTTGGATCCGGGCTGGGAGGTGGAATCTCAGGTGGCAGACTCGTGCTAGATTTAGCGCCGTCAGATGCAGTGACAGGAACAGATGGACTCTTTGGTGGAGTAGGCAGCTCCTCTCCACCAGGACCAGAATCTGAAGAAACCATCTGCGCAGTGGCTTCGTCTGCAAGCCTCTGCTCATACTGCTTTCGCATTAGAGCGAAGTCGTCATCATCATCATCATCGGTGGTGTTCGTGGAAGATGAGGCGCGAAGCCCAAGTTTGTTTTTGAACAATTTGCTATGAAGTTCAAGGTTAGATACTGCTCATAACAGAAGTTAATACATACAGGTTCCAATGTTCGTGCAGTGCCTTTGCCCAACTAGGGTCTGGGGCGTCACGGATTGTCGAAATGATCCGATAGTACACATCTTGGTAATTGTAAGTGCCGTCTTCTTCCTTCCACTTGTCGCGTGAACCAATGGCGAAACGGCTCTGTATAAGGACATTGAGTAGTAGTTAAAATGTAAAAAGTAAGCATATTGAAAGATGTACCTGAATCACACCATATGCAATATTCTCTGCTTCTACCTCCATCATATTATGGAGACGTGCATTACATGGACACATCCCAACAGATTCACTGTCTGTGCAAAGAGCGGAGGACGGTCCTGTGAAGAGATGCCTCATCACCTGAGAGAGACAGGTTTGATGAATACTCAAAGATCAATTGGTCTAATAAAAAATCACTCACTCGCTCGAGAAGGTATCCTTCAAATAGCCCGTTCTGCACCAGCTGAGGGTTGAAATGTTCCCCAGCGATCTTACCAGAGTATACCATGGCCGGCCAGACCAATGTACGCATCTTGATATCTCCGTTTTCCAACTTTTGGCATGTTCTGATCACAACCATCAGTAGCTTCAACCAATGGTGGAGAGTACTTATGCTATAGGATCTTTCAAATATTCACCCAAGTGCTTCACAGGGCAGAGCATCCTGGCGAGCTGCGGGTGATTAATACCCATCTTTGCGCGTGACCGTTGATTATTAGCACGAATGGGAGGATCCAGATCTTTGTCGTCAGGGTCATATGCTGCATACTGTCCAATGACAGGTTTCAGATGGCTAGCATCCTCCGAACGAACTTGTCCGATAATCATTTGCATCTGTAAGTGGCATTAGCATGCAAACCAGTGCATATATGCATGCCTTACCTCAGTGAGAAGTCCCTCAAGTTCTCGCCGCTTCTTCTTGTTACCATTGACCAGTGTTAGTAGGTATGGGGCAGCCGTGGTTATCTTCTTGTAGGTTCGCATCATTCATGCCTCTTCATCCTTGGAGCTAGAGTAGTGTTATCAGCGAAAATGAAATGTGATCACGAGCTGTACTTACATGTTCTTCAATATTGCTTCACGGTCACTCTTAACTTGTTCGTCCTCAATATGGTCTGCTTTTTCGGCTGCTTCTCGCTGCTCGACAAGAGGTGCGACCCGAAAGACATCAGTAAGTTTGCAAAACATGTCTACCCCTCGGGGTATCCAACGTGCAACGTGTAAGCATTGCTCTTGCAGTGACATTCCTTTCCTGTATCGGACATTGAGAGATAAGCATGACTCAGATGTGCTGGCATGTACTTACTGTTTGGGTTTGTTGCCCGAGTCTGAGTCTTTACGTTTCCTAAGATGGAGGGATTAGATATGCATATATGCACCTGATAATGCGAAACTGACTTACTTTGTTCGTTTTTTGGGTTTTTTCGTGTCGGTGTCGCTATCTGATGATTCCCTCGCACGTTTTTGCAGGGATTTCTTCCGTTTCGGTTCTTCATGCATTGGCGAAGTCATGGGTGGCGAAGTGGAGCGTGACTGACTCATCATCGAGTCATTGCTGTCTGATGACGAGCTACTGGAGGTTGACAGTGAGTGATGCCTACGTGCTGGCATGATGGTAGTAGTAGATAAGATGGAAATAAGATGTGTGCATGGCATTATCGATTACAAGCTTTTGTTTGGTTCTATTGACGTGTTTCGAGAACACGCTGGGAAACCTCGACACGTCTATGCGATATCTTAAAATCTATGTTGACACGTCAATTACAATGATTAATTCTACAATTACATAATTCTTATGTACAGACTACAAAATAAAATAACATGAAAGTAGTGCGAGAGCAAAAAGAACGGTACAGCAAAATATAAACTAAGTAAAGCCTGCGGTAACAGGAGCAGGCACAGCTCACAAAACATCTAAACTGGCAATGCAATCCTTATCTTCCACGTCCCTGAAATGGAGATGGCGGCGGGGCGGCCAATGAGTGCTACTGTCGAATCTGGGTTTTTGTGGCAGAGGATCTTCGCAGGCTCCCACTAAGCGCACTGGTCTCGCTTTGACAGTGTTATTTCTGTAAATGGAAATTTGTCAGCATGATGATCAAGTAAATATAAGAAAACCTTACCCAGAAGTCTGAGACGTGATTTTGAGGCCTGCAAGATCTTCAGTGAGCTTGATGGTATCGGCCGAGAACCTAGAAAGTTTAATGTTAGTTAATATGACACGCAAGACCAACTCATGTTTTGATTTTCTTGCGCTCACGATCGGTTCTGTACATTGAGTTAGCAATCTATTTGTGAGAAGATTGGAACAAAATGACACACCTTTTCCTTTTGCGACTGCCTGGTATCAATAACTCCGCCTCGCTATCGGTAGATTCCTCAATATGGACCATCTTGACGGGATCCTTGAGCCGGATGATTAGTTTCTAAATCAAAGTCAGTAAGTAATATGAAAAGATCGAGATGACTCACCAATGGGCCCGGGTTCTCAGGCGTAAACTTAATCTCGTAAGTCGGCCAGCCAGTCAGGAGGTTCTCGATATCCATGACAATGACCTGGTCGGTACCATCAATGAGAATAGACTGGGCTGACATAGTAGTAGATGATTATAAAAATGATTAGTATTTGATAAAAACGATTATGAGAAACACGTAGTCGCGTCTCTTTGCATTTCTGGCATTTTCCGGCTGACTTTCAAAAGTCACGTGATTTTTGCCAACCAACCACAACCTTCACTTCTATTCCTCTCCATGCAGCGCACCCCTTTCGAATGAAGGCAGACGGACAGCATGAACTATGCCTGGAGGACATCTATATCTGTTCTTACAATCTAGCTCGTCCGAAAACTCGTTTCTGCGACTGCCCCACCGCACTCTCTGGGATGATGCCATGCGAGCAGGTGCACTCGATGCTTTGCCACACAACACCCGGATGCACCTCGCTTGTCATGGGAAGCAAGACCACAATGAGAGACGAACCTCTGAGACTCCAATTTTCGGGGTTCAAGAGCGTCATTGACACACTCAAGTGAGTAGTTTGACGCTTATTTTGTTCTAGGTCAACTCTGATTTTGGCGCTCCTAACCTACCAGAGATATTGACTATATACGCCCACTTTTACATCGCGCTTGCTATCCCTGGATCCCCCACTCCACTTGCGTCATTCCCACATTTGGCTCTATTCTGGATGGTTCCGGTCCCCTCCCTGTCTAAGTGTCAGAGGTGAGTTTTAGTTTTTGGATCTTCCTTCTCCATTCCACGACTCAAGTTGACTGGCGTTTTGTAGGTGAGCCAGCCTGGTAGGTCTCTTCTTACCCCTCTCGTCAACCAGGCGCTTCCCCTCCTGATCAGCATGGTGATTGATGAGAATCTCCATGTGAAAGATACAACAGCGTCTAACAGATGCCACTTCCAGTGCACCCATTATGTTATTTGTACTGTATGCTTTATAATATTCAATATCAATTTCTAAATGTTTGGTGTCGCAGTGTGACTTGTGGCTTGGTGAGCTTGGCACGCTGGTCGCATGAACAGTGGATCAGCCCACAACTCTTGAGCTTATCTTGCTCAAGGATTAGAATCGGCAGCAGTCAACACCAAGTCTTGGTGACTATAAAGACTTCAGATGTGTCGCGACCAGGTAACTTATCACTTTCCTCACTGTGTTGTATCTTGTTAACTATGTCAGGCCGTCCAATGTGCCTCAGTTGTGGGAGGCAGTTCAAATCGACAAGGCAGCTGTCGTCGCATGCTGCGCAGTGTGGGTATAATATGTCTGTTAAGCTGACCGACTCTATCTATGAAAAGCCAAAAAAGTGCAGGTCGGATAAGCACAGCAAGAAGAGGCCTCATATTGAAGACTCAGATGAGATTGTTCAGGACGGAATCCAGCATATCTGCAATGATGGCTGGGTTGACCCGCCTGATGATGACGTGCCCATGAGTATTTCATTTATAGCCTCTCATAATATTCATAAAACATTGTAGCAGCAGGATAATGATGTTGCTGGACCGTCACACATAGCTGGCGACAATGTTCCACTCCCTGAAGATAATGTGAGTGTTTTCTTTTAGTGAATTACATTGTAATGTCTTGTTGATCTTGATACAATTTCAGGTTACAGACCTGCCACCCCGTCCAGTTGTCTCACAACGCTCTGGGCGCACAATCCGAATGCCATGCCGCTATGTCGATTACCTTTCTGGTTCAGCAACACATCTTGCTCATATGCCAGGCACCAGTCGCCAGCAGCGTGGTGAGCAGCCTCAGACTGCAACATCGGCCTCGCATACAGAGGTCAACAGTGCTGTCAATCGCCCTCGGTCACCCAGCCCCACCCCTAGCCTAGAACCCACCCTTGTGCCTTTCGAGACCAAACCCGACAACATGGGCCTATATTGTATCTATCCCACCCATCCCACACTGGTTCCCACAGACGGCACCACTCTTAACACTGTGATGGATGCCCCTACTCTTGACTGCGGTCAACCAGGCTCAAAGTGCACGAAGATTCTTGCTGGACTTCCGTCCACAGATGTAGGGATGGATGAATTGTTCGATGCATTCACCAATCCAACATGTGGACTTTTGATGGCATGGCAGTATTCTGGGACAGGTCTGAACTCGGCTGCGCACTTTGATCGCCTTGGTACATTTCTCGATGATCCTCTCTTCTGCCAGAAAGACGCAGTTGGAATCACGCATACCTGTGAGTCGAAGCTGCTCAATAGATATTTGGACGACAAGTCCAATCCTTTCCAGGAGGAATATGGTTGGTGCGAATCCACAGTCAGGATTCATCTACCAAAGGAGAAGCAGAAATGGGCATCAGAGGAGGATGCTCCTGAGTTGGAGATACCTGGAGTATACCACCGCTCACTCATTGACATTATCACAGCCGTTTTCGAGGACGATATCTCGCAGACCTTCAATATGACGCCTTTCACTCAGTACTGGAAGATCTCAGAGGAAAAGACCGTCCAGGTCTTCTCAGAAGCTCACAGCTCCCCTGCCATGCTCGAAGCGTACGAGGAGATCAATAAGTTGCTGCGTGAACCTGACGATGGTCTTGAACGCATGGTCGCCTCCCTCATGTTTTGGTCCGATGCGACTCATCTAACTAATTTCGGGGACACTTCAATGTGGCTGTTTTATTTATTTTTTGGGAATCAGTCTAAATATACTAGAGGGAAGCCAACATCTGGTGCATGTCACCATGTCGCCTATATACCAACTGTACGTTGTCTCATCTGCTACTGCTAAACATTAGGGCTGAATATTTTGAGATAGCTCCCCAGTGATTTCCAAGAAATCTATATTGGCATATTTGGGGAACCCTCGACAGACCAGACATATACCTTCTGCAAGCGGGAGCTGATGCACGCTATCTGGACACTCCTCCTGGATGACAAGTTCATGGATGCTTATGAACACGGTATTGTCATCAAATGTTCAGATGGCATCACTTGTCGAGTTTTCCCTCAGGTTTTCACTTATTCAGCCGACTATCCAGAAAAGTAGGTATCATTTTTAACCTTGTTATTTACCCTGACATTATTCTCTAGAATTCTACTTGCAAGTATCAAATTTCTGGGTCAATGCCCATGTCCACACTGTCTGGTGAAGAAGGCGGACGTTCCAAAGATGGGAATGAAGTCTGATTTGAGATGCCGAGACAAGTTGCAGCGCGTTGTGACGCTCGGACCGCTTATCCGCGCTTTCCCGCGCATCGGACATGCGTTCCCGCGCATTGGATACCTCGGAAATGCATTAGGAAAGTCCCTCGTCCATCCATAGCCCGTCCAAACCCCATTGGTATGTGAATTTCCTTACCTCGAGGCTTGTAAAATGTGTTGCAGCCTTATTACATGTCCTTACATATTTACTATATTTCCTATCCCTTCCTACTCCGAGTGGGATTCTAGATAGTATAAGTTGCCTATACTTTGGACTACTTACTATACTTCCCTCGTACTGTATACCTCACCCTATAGGTTTACCTTCGAAGTAGTCCCTTGTAGTGCGCGCTTTTTAGCCCCTATTAGGTCCCTTATACCTCTCTATACCTAGGATCCCTTACCTCGCAATATACCTTTGCCCTCACTCCCTTGAAACCTCGTTCCTTGACTTCCCTATACCTTGTCTGCTCTTTCCCACGCTTTCCGCACCTTCGGCCGCGCGTTCCCGCACCTTGAATAACCTCGGATACATTCCTATACCTCGCGCATACCTAGTCCGCTATTTTCCCGCGCTTAGCGTGCTCTCGGGTCACACATATCCATCATCTCTCTAGTAGCAAATCCCTTTAGGGTCGAACGTGTCTGTATAGACATAGCAGCTAGGCATTAGCTTGACCCAACTTTGTCCTTGCTACTCAGCAGGACTGTTGTTACCACAGCGTCGATGACCATTCACGACGTCATAGTGTTGCAAGGGCTTGGTCACTCATATTCGAAAATGGGGCTCCAGTTTCTGGTATTTGGGTGAACAATCTTTTGAACAATAAATCCATGGTGCCTACTCGAGTAAGTACATCTACCTAATCTTATAACTTGTCCTGATCATATACTAGAACACGTTCTCAGAGAAACTTGCGAGGTTTGGATTCAACTTGTTCGTCCTGTTTGTCGTGGACCTCCTGCATGAGTTCGAAATTGGGGTTTTGAAAGCAATCTTTACTCACCTTATGTGAATTCTGCATGCAGCAGCAGGAAATTCCGTTCAAGACCTCAATAAACGGTAAGTAATGGTATACTGACAGCGTCAGCCCGACTGATATATTGCCAGGTATCGCATGGTTCTAACTTTCGGATGTGGCACTATTCGGCGTTTCCACAGTAATGCGTCCTCTATGAAGAAACTTGCTGCAAGAGATTTTGAAGATCTCCTTCAGGTACGTCTTATGGGCTATTTGTAAATTACGCTATAATATAATCATGCAGTGTGCCCTCCCTGTATTCGAAGATCTTCTTCCAAAAGAGCATGACTCGATCGTCCTCGACCTTCTCTTTGACCTAGCCGTATGGCATGGGTATGCAAAGCTCCGATTGCATACTGATGATACCCTGGTTTTTTTCGACACTGCGACCGTGGTCTTGGGTCAGTCTGTACAAAAGTTTTCCAAAACAACATGTGCGCACTATCACACCACTGAGCTCCCTCATGAATATGCTGCCCGTGGATGACGAGCTGCAGCCTTGGCGAGTCAGCAGACTGTTAGGGATGGGAAGAAAAAGGCCACGGATTCAGCGGCCATTGGGCCAAAGTTGAAGAAGCTCAACCTTAAGACCTATAAGTATCACGCACTCAGAGACTATCCTAATATGATACGGCACATGGGAACCACTGATAATTTTTCTACTCAGCCAGTACGTTTTTTTAAGAAATATCTAGGCTTTACATGCTTACACACACACTGGTAGGGCGAACTGGAGCATCGATCACTTAAGCGTTGGTACCCTAGGACTCCGAAGAGCAAGAAAACCACAGCAAAACATATGGCTCGTCAGGAGGCACGACACCGACTTATGAAGAAGATCCTGAAACGATGCGAGCAGCTGGCAGAAGCAGCTGGTCGGCATAATAAGAAACGTCAACGCACTTCGCCCTCTGATCATTATCATATATCACACTACCCGAAGGCATCGTACAACCTCACTGCATGGCTGAGTGAACTTGACAATGACCCAGCGATGCAGGTATGTGCGCTGACACGCACCAAACTTGTTTTGTGCATGGTCATGGCTACTTTAGAGCTTTGATATCCTCTACTGTACTCTACAAAGTTATTAAGAATTTTCTATAACACATTATGACCGGATTTGAGCAGTTTTTCAGACATAACAAACCCATAACACTACATAATAATTCAATTAATACTTATCCTATTCAAAGATAAGTTCCAAACATACCATAACATGTTACTCAGCATTTTTTCTCACAACATCCTAATTTTCTCACACATTCTTCACATTTCTTTTGTATGTTCTGAAACATATTCAAATCAACATTTCAATGTATCAACAGTTCATGGGTGACTAAGGGCTTAGTCAGATGAAATGGATTAGTAAGATGAGATGGATTAGTCAGGAATTTGAATGGAGAAAGTTGATAGATGAGAATATTTGAGAAGTGAACAAGTTATCATGAGACATCTCTACAATGACTCAGTTTGAGTCATTATGAGTCATTTTCTTGTCTGAGTCACTATGAGTCATCTTCATTATGACTCAGTATGAGTCAGGATGAGTCATATTTCCTTATTTAGATAGTTACACAGCCACATTTAGAATAGTATATAAGGGGCTCAATTTCCCCTCTGAAGAATGACAATCTCCCTTTTGAAATCAAACTTCCTTTGAAAGGACAGACAATCCCCCTTTAAGAGAGAGGGAGGAGGATTTGCGTATCTTCCTGAATTTCTCACCCTATATTTGTGTGAACATCTGAGTGAATATTAAGTTTATTCCCTCCATTCTTTTGTCATCTTTTCCCACAACATACTGATTTTCTGAGGCCTACCTTGAGCCAATCCTTGAATTACACTAGCTGGTACACGGTTATCAGTCGTCTAGTTGTAGTTTCGTCACATTCTCTTTACAACACAGGATACCTTTTCTGTGGGGAGAATTTACGTATTTTTAACGATTAGGAGGACGACAAATAGGACTAGCACGTTGGTCAACAATATTAAGAGCTTGGCTGCTTTAAGACTACATCCAGAAGGTGTACTCTGTTCTGATTCTGCGTCATACTCATCGTGAGTGCCTG